AAAACCTCTGCATAATGTATCTTCATATACAGAGAAGATAAGCATGGGTGAGTTTTTTGTTTGTTTTTAATTGAACTTATTGAGGTGACATTGGTTCACAAAACCATACAGGTTTCAAGTGTACAGCCCAATAAGACATCATCTACACACTGCATGTGAGTTATTTTTAAACATAGTGAAGGAAAGTATTTAGCGTTATCCTCTAGAAAGCGAGTTTTCTATTTGTTCCTTCACGAAAGAAATTGGAAGATAATTTAAGGTTCAGGGAAAAAAAAATAATCCTAGATGACTGTTTCCCATAGTGACACATTAGATAATTGCAGTCCCATTTTTTCTGGAAGTAAGATAAGTCACATAAGTCTTCTTTAAATATTAAAGAGCAAGAGGATCCAGTATTGTAACAAAATTATACAACAAATACTTTTCCCTTGAGGAGTCTTAAAATTTTAAATATATACAATGTAAATTGAATGTCATGTTGAACCCCCATCCCATTACTTGGCTTCCCCAGTGCCTTTGAACAGTGATCAACACCCTGCAACTATTTTTAAGTTTTACTTTCACCTATTCCCCATCTCCCATGTGCCTATTATTTTTACGGCTATTTGAGGATATGTTTACTATATTGAAAGACACGAACATTAACTATACATTTTTGACAAATTGTTTTCCTCTAAATCAGTGGTTCTCAACCTTCCTAATGCCACGACCCTTTAATACAGTTCCTCATGTTGTGGTTACCCCCAACCATAAAATTACTTTCATTGCTACTTAATACTGTAATTTTGCTACCGTTATGAATCGTAATGTAAATATCTGATGTGCAGGATGTATTTTCATTGTTACAAATTGAACACAATTAAAGCATAGTGATTAATCACAGAAACAATATGTAATTATATATGTGTTTTCCGATGGTCTTAGGCGACCCCTGTGAAAGGGTCTCTCAACCCCCAAAGGGGTCGCGACCCACAGGTTGAGAACCGCTGCTCTAGGTCTTAGTTTATGAGAGTCTCCCAAATCTGGGGTGATACACAAAGATGCCTGCCGGAAAATTCAAGTCCCAATCTAACCACTTCAGTTGACACCTCTTGCTGGTGTCTCCATAGTACACTCAGGTAGAACTTCTCAGTCCAGTGTCCCACTGCAAAGCCTACCCCACAATAATTCAAACTTGTGTGTCCTTCTCTACCTTTGTCTGAGTGTGTTGATCTTTCCACTCTTCAAAATTTCTTCTCCTTCCAACCACACTCTTTTGTTTATACTGGTATCTGTGTCTAGCATTATTTTAAGTTCTTCTTTGAGTGCCTTATCAACTTGACCAGCTTTCCAAATGTTTTCTTTTGGAAAAGAAGCTTAATCTTTTAAAATATATTTGATTGATTTCAGAGAGGAAGGGAGAGGAAGAGGGAGAGATAGAAACATCAATGATGAGAGAGAATCATTGATTGGCTGCCTCCGACATGCCCCACACCGGGGATCTGGCCTGCAACTGTGGCATGTGCCTGACTTTGATTTTTGGGATCAAACCTGTGACCTCCTGGCTCATAGGTCAACACTCAACCACTGATCCACTTGGGCTGGGTGAAGCTTAATCTTTACCATGACACCGTTATGGTAACGCCTAAGACCATCGGAAAACACATATATGAATAATATAATTACATATTGTTATAAACATTGGTGAACTTATCCGATTGTGAAATAGAGCAATTTTAAATTAAGAATCTATTCTTTTATTTTCTGGTATTTATCAACCTGAGGGTGTTGTTTGTTTGTTTGTTTAATTGAAGGCAGAAAAGACTATTAGTTTCTTGGGTATTCGTATTAAGTTAGTAAGAGTTATAATAGCAAAATCATAGTTTTCTTATGGTCTTATTCAGCTTATACAACTTTTAACTTATTTATAGTGCCAGGAAGCTAAATATAAAAATTGGACAATCACTTTCAATTGGATTTATGGTTAGTAGTGGATCAATTCAAGTTGAACAACCCAACCAGCCTCTACCTTAAATAAGAAAGTGCCAGGTAACGACAGATTATGCAAATGCAGTTTCGGGGGTTTAAAATAGCTTCTATAACACATACAGCATTTCTCTCTGACTTTTATCGTAGAGACTAAGCAGACAGGTCTCTTTGGGGTTAATACATGTTGATTAATTTATCCATTTATTTCCATGAAATATTTCTTGTTATGAATAATATTCCTTGTTCTGATTTACTCTTTCTTCTAAGTGCTGCATAGTGTGTCCTCTCCTTTTATTTTTAACCTATCTGTGTCTTTATATTTAAAATGGAAACTAAAGGTCTTATGGACAAAAGGGAAGCTTTCAAAATAGAGAGGAGGCAAGGGGGCCACATTCTTTCTCTGTGCCCAGATAATCTGCTGGACAACTACTTACCAGCGTTGTCTCAGATATCGTCTACCAAATCTGGAAATCCTTGGACCTGTGGGAAGTTACAGTCCCCTCTGCTGGGGTGGAAATAGAGTTTTGGAAAAGCCCATGGCTTAAAGTGAACTTTAGCTTGGTGGCGCCGACTGTTCTGAGAGGAGAATGAGGACAGGGTTGTTCAGGCAAGCCAGAGTCAACACCCATGTTCATTTATAAAAAATTATTGCCTCCAGCATCATGTTGGCCTTAGCTGTGCTCTCTTCTATCTCTTACCCAAACTTTTAGTCTGGAGAAACACGGCATATGAAAATCTTGAAAGATCTTTGACAATGTGAATAGAGTATTTTACTGACAGAAAAGCAGAGATCTTTCTTTTCCAACACACTGGTGCTAAAAACATTTATAGTTGAGTTTCAGTCATTGAAGAACACAGTGTTAAAGGCAAGAGCAAGAAAAAAATTTAGATCATTTCTATGAAACTAAAAATATCATTAAATAATTTATAAGTCAAGATACAGTGTTTCAGTTTCAATGATTTAATAGTGATTAAAATAGCTATTACAGACCTCTCTGGTTGTAATGTATCTGTATTATAAAGGAGAGCTCATTAGCCCCTTTTCTTCATGTGCCTGTGTGGTGTGTAGACTAGAAAGTTCTGCTGTCATGTACTGTTGAATCAAGACATAAATATTAATGTTAGTTGACTTAACTGTTGTAGATTTCTTTGTGTGTTTTTTATCAGAAAAGAATCCCATTTAATTTTAAATTAGATATTGAAATACAGGCTAAATAATTTTTCAAAGGTTAATGTGTGAAGTATTTGTGGACGAGTGTGTATCAGGCCTTAAAACATTTGTAGATCAGAAAATACCATCATTATCTAATCTGTACTTTTGTATGTATTATCTGTAGGTTATCTGTTTGCCATTTCGGTCAGAAAAATAGAAGGATAAGTTTCACTTTACATATACATATGTGTGTGTCTATGGACTAGTATGTGTAAAAGTAGAAAAAATAATCTGCCATTTAGAAAAGTATGTGTTCATGACAGTATGCATATTTAAACATTATTTAGATCAGCAATTTTCAACCTTTAAAATGTCATGGCACACGTGAACTAATTACTTAAATTCTGTGGCACACCAAAAAATATTATAATTTGCCGATCTGACCAAAAAAAATTGTATAATTTTGATTCATTCACATCAGACAGCTATTGTTGTGTAGACTATTGTCAATTTTTTTATTTGATAATCTAAGGGGAAAAAAGGTCAGTGCCCTTGACTAAATAGTCAGATAATGCATGTTTTAAAATTTCTTACAGCACAATGGCCAAAAATCCTCGACTTAGATTATTATTATAAGAAACCAATGGTTGCTTCAGCATTTCCTAGGTAGATGAAGCTCATTAGAAATAATATGAGAAAGAAATATTATAGATTTATAGATTATTATTATTATTATTTATTTGCTGAGAAAGTCTTGTAAAGGGGCCACCCTTTTATTTGCAATTATGCAATGATATAAAATTTAGGCCACTTTTTTATTGTAAGAAAATGCAACATATACATTTTGCATGATTATTTTTCAATTTAGATTCAACGTTATGGATTATCTATATATTCTTGTATGCTATCCCAGGGCATGAGTTCTCTAGATATATGCCATTTATCTTAATGTCTTTAGGAGGGTACATTTTTATTTGCATAGGCACATCTCTTCTATATGCCATAAGTTTAGTAAAAATGGATCAGCTGAAATTGGTTTCCCTAAGCAATATTGCTTTTTGTTTGGAAAAGAGACCGTTGCTGGATGGGGAAGAACATGAGACCTGATTTGCATCAGTGCTGATTGTGTTCAAATTGTAAAATTCATGGACCCTTTAACAGAATAGGGAAGATTAGAGATGCACTCTATTTCAGCTCTCATTCAACAAATGTCTACAATTCAGCCCACTAAAGAATTGTAAGAAAGCAAGCATTGAAATGTTACATTGGAAGAGTGTGTGTTCCAGTCAGGTACCCTAGACAAGTCTTAAAGAAGAATGGCTTCTATTGTGTGTCTGTATGTTAATTTTGTCTTTCACCTTAAGATTTATATTGTATAGATTTGCTTTAAGATAAAAGAAAAAATAAGCAGTTCTCACCATGGGATACTCGGTAACTGCTTTTTCTCTTCCATTCTCTTATTTTGGGGATTTCTCTTTCTTATCAGCAGTCTTACTGAGTGAACTGAAGTACCAGCCTCTGTTATTACAGGCATTTCCTTTTGTTCAGGATAAAATTCAGTGATAACTCCTGTGGGAAGTGATGGACAGGGAGGGCAACCGATTGCTGTTGTTAAAGGTAAATTAGAAATAGATGATAAAATTCACTAAGTGTTTGAATCTCCGCCTCCCAACTTCATCTCCCCAAATAACAGTTATAAGTAGTATAATAAAAGTTTTATGTTTTTGTCTTTTTGAAACAGGACATTTTCCATATCATGCCAGATATACAGTTAATTTTTTATTAAAAAAATAGATTTGCAAGTCAGCTAGCATATTGTCTTTGTTAAAGAATGCATACAAGTAGAATATGTATTCAAATAACTTTCCTTGGTCCCCAGGTACCATTATAGTGGATAACATGCTGATCAAGGGGACTGCTGGGGGACCAGACCCCACCATCGAGCTCTCTTTAAAGGACAACGTGGACTACTGGGTGCTGCTGGATCCCATAAAGCAGATGCTATTCCTGAACAGCACGGGCAGAGTTCTGGATAGAGATGTTAGTGATTTCTTTCTTTATTATACTTTACGTATCTGCATGTGTTTGTTGATATGATATCAAATTTTCTTTATATAATTTGAGTTTACTTTTCACGTCCATCAACAAAAATTTTTTTTTAGCTCCTTAAAAAATAGGAAAGGGAGGGGCTATCCGTGTCTTAGAGAACCATTATATCTTTTATCTGTCATTCTGGAAGCTCATCATATTTCTGAACAAAAGGCTAGAGCAGGGGTGAGCAACCTTTTTGTGAGTGCGTGCCAAAACCAGCGAAATCTCTGACTCAAAATTCTTCCGCGTGCCAACCCTAATTTTTTGAGAACATGCCATGCCTACTTGATATCTCTTAAAGTGTACGTATGTGAAGAGCCTTGAAGAAATAATAAAATTCATTTGAGCGACAAAAACACAGTATATGATGATGAAAAATACATTTATTTTTTAATGTATATATGTACACTGATAGTCCAACAGAAAACTTTATGACTTTGATATTATCAGTGGGACTTTTGCTGCTGCATCACTGATGACAGATTTTACATCAGGTTTCTATTTTGTGACATTCAGAGATATGCACGAGCTAATACTTTCATCCGTCAGGCTACTCCTATTAGGAGACTTAACAAAATTCATCACTGAGAACAAAGATTCACAATTGTAAATGGAAGTTTATAAAAGAGGGTTTTGCGTGCCAGCGAAAGTTACTGGCGTGCCATATTTGGCACGCGTGCCAGGGGTTGCCCACCCCTGGGCTAGAGTGTTCAGAATAAAGGAGTGGTAACCTTGGAAAAGTAGGATAAACACAGTGATGATCCAGGGTGAGGGCTGGACATGCAGCTAAGTGTTGACTTGAGGACAGAGAGTTTGGTGGGAACACTAATGGGCGGCTGCTCTTACCAGCACCAAGCATTGGTTGAGAGAGGAGTTTGAGGCGATGTGCCTGTAGAGCTGTGAAAGAGCTAAAAGAAGGTGGGCACAGGTCTCCTGGCAATGTTCCTGTCGAATCCTTCCAGTCCAGTCATTCTCAGGCAGCACGACCTAAGTAGCACTATGTTAAGAACAGCTCAGTTACCAAAGTCATTGAATGTCTCATCTCTGAAACAGTTTAAAAACTTGAGTGTATTTATTTTAATGTAACTTTATTCTCATGTATTTGCAGTTCAGTCTTGTGAGCAGGGAAGAGTATTTGGGGAGTAGGGGTTTCAGTACTAGTAGTAATGTGCAGGACCTTGGGAAAACTCAAGGAGGATATCTAAACATGCCTACTCCAAACTTTCTAGCTTATGAAATTCAAACATTAGATATTCAGTGAACCTGAATTATCTCACCACCTCATTCAGGATTTATGATCCACTTTACAATATGGTATAGACTAGATGATCCCTAACCTATGTCACATCTAAAATTCAGAGTCTTTAAAACTTTGTGGTGAGGTGGGCAATACATAGGATTCTCCCACCAGGATGGGCTGTCTTCATATACTTGCACATTTTGTATATGTGGGTATCTTTGTATACTTGGGGAGATCCATAATTTAGCTATATTTGAGCAGTGGTGGCAGATTTGAAATGTGGGTAGCAGTAGAGAATAGGAATAGAACTGTTGGGCTCAACTTAGGGATAATAAGTCATCCTTAATGCTGTCCCCATCCCCCTCCCCTTCACAGCTCCCCACTATGTCCTTTGATCACAGCAACATGCATTATATACCACAGTGTACAACTTTGGCTGGGTGGCTAAGAAGTTGTAAATGGAATAAAGACATCTGCTATCCTCAATTGTATCTTCTTCATTTACCTTATCATAAATCCTACTTTTATAAAACCAATCTGGACAATGGCACAGATTGGCAGACTGCAAGATTCCCCTCCCCACAACCCCCCCCCCCAGCTGCAGCTGCATTAACAGGCATCCTTTACTGGCCCTATTTAGGGACATTCATATCCAAGCTATATGAATTTTATAACATGTTAGGGGAATTATAAAATATTTATCTATTTGAGACCACTGTCATTTTATATTTTGAATCCTTTAAAAAAAATCACCTTATAACCCAGCCAGTGTGGCTCAGTGGTTGAACGTCAACCCATGGACCAGGAAGTCATGATTCTCTTCCCAGTCAGGGCACCTTAACCATGGTGTGGGCTCGATCCCCAATAGGGGGCATGCAATAGGCAGCCAATCAATGATTCTTTCCTCTCCCTTCCTTCCTCTGGAATCAATAAAAACATATATATTTTAAATCACCTTACAGCTGACTATGATAATTACTGGTTCACTACTAAATCACTTTCTTTGGGGAACCTATTTTTTATATTAAAATCACACTAATAGGTCTGAATTATGAGTAGAGAGAAAGGATATCCTTCTGTATAAATAGTCTTCCATCTCTCCAGCCTATAAAACTGTTTAAATTTTTTACCAAAAATTATATTATTTTTCAAGATAAATATCTGTTTTCTTAGTATTGTTTTTTTTTATTTCTAATACGGGCATCATTTATTGGACATTGGCTAAACTGAATCTACATCATGGGAATACACTTAAAATTGATTTGGCCTGAAAGTAACAATGCAAAAATATGCACATGTATCATTTAAAGAAAAATCCAGACTGATTCATTAACATAATAATGAGCATTAAATTCCTTTCCATTTAAAATGTTATTTTGAATTAGGGAAGCTATGGTCAAGTTAAACTTGCAAAGATAGTTTACAAATTGAAGTGCTGTCAGCGGACAGTTAATTAAAATTAGCTAAAGATGATGGAGACTAGGTCATCTAAGAATATTAAATGTAAAATGAATATTGCAGAGGAAAATCTGTGCATTTGAAAATAAAAAGACCTGCTCACATACATACTTGCAATGTATTTACCATTTAGCAAATGCACTTATTGAAATAATGGCAAGACATTGAATAGAAGATGCTCTAAACCAGCCGTGGGCAAACTACGGCCCGCGGGCCGGATCTGGCCCGTTTGAAATGAATAAAACTAAAAAAAAAAAAAAGACAGTACCCTTTTATGTAATGATGTTTACTTTGAATTTATATTAGTTCACACAAACACTCCATCCATGCTTTTGTTCCGGCCCTCCGGTCTAGTTTAAGAACCCATTGTGGCCCTCGAGTCAAAAAGTTTGCCCACCCCTGCACGTTAGTAATATGAAAATTTAAGCCTGTATAGTTAAATAAAGTCACGCCAAAGATTTAACATCACCATCTTGCACAGGTACTTTCTTTTGGTGGTTGGACTTACAAAACCTGAATTAGAATAGACACAGGACTTGAGGCTTCCTATGGGTAGGGACATGGTAGCCCTCCAATGTTTTTGTTTGTTTTTTGTTGTACTTTGTTACTATTGCTGTTTTCATTGTTATTGTAACATATTTCACTGGTCCACTGGACTAGTGTACACGGTGTTTACATGAGGACATTTTAATCTAGATAATATAAATAAAGCCCATGCCACCAATTAATAAGAAATCCAGGTTGCCAAAAACTTGTTATTTCATATCAGAGAATTCTTCTTGAATAAATGTGTGAATTGAATTAAGTTAAGAGTTAGAAGTGTAAGTGTAAAAACAGTATGAAGAGTCACGTAGAAGAAATAGAAGTATAGATGTAGTGTAGAATAAATTGAGTAGAAGTAGTAGCAGGTGTCAGAAGAATAAGAAGAGTGTAAAATACTGTCAAGTTTAGACCTGCTAGCTGGTAATGGAGGCCATCAAGTTAAAGAGCAACCATAAAAGGGGGAAAAAGACAACCTGATGTATAGAAACTGTTAAATGTTTATATCATGAATATATTGGATCATTAAGGAATATTTCACCAGCATTAGATTTCCAAGAGTCAAGGAAAGAATGGTAACAGGCTGAATGCACTTTTTGATGTACAGATTTGTCAGTAAGACTTCATCTTTGGGAGGTGGAGCACTTAGTCAGTATTCTGATCAAATCTATGAACTCATTTCTCAGGGAAAAGTTTATTTGCACATCAATAAATTATTTGCAATTTCAAGAGTTTCACTAACTACCAAGATTGCACAGAGCTCAGGTTACAGAACTTGCCTTGGGTAAATACTCTCCTTTTTTTTAATTTTCAAATTATTAGAGAATCTTATATCTTTAATTAGTATTTCCAAACAGAACTAAGCAAAGGAAAGATTATTTACCATATATGAACTTTTATATCA